GGACTGCTGCTTCTCGGACAGTGGTGGGCTGTGTGTGAGGCTGCTGCTCTCGGACGGGGGCAGGCTGCTCACATGGCTGCTGCTTGCGTGGTCGCGGTGCCCTGGGCGTTTTCCAGGCATCCTCTACCCTTCCCAGCTGCGAATTGTCTCACCAGCTGTGTCTACTTTGCCAATGTTATTCGATTTAGTTGCTCATTCTGTCTGCTCCGGGACAAGACTGGGGACCGCATGTTCCTCTTATTCCAGTATTAATGGAATCAGAAAACATGGCAATGAAGTCATCACTCCAATTCTCTTTTAATAGCTGGCACTAGAATTCTTGCACAAGATCTATCCTTATTGGGAAAAGACCTAGGTTGGACCACTTGGGAAAGGGGAATACCTGTGGGGTCATGGATGTTGGCTGGCACCATGGATTCTGCAAAATCACCCAGGATAGAATGAGTTGCCTGTGACACTCAATGTGTCAGGCATTGTGCTAGGCTGTGGAACACCAAGGTGAGCAAAGCCAGAGTTCTTGCTCTCCTGGTACTTGCACACCCAGCACACGGCAGTGGCAGCGGCCAACCATGGGCTCTGCGTCTCTCTCGGGGAAACCAGACGTTTCCTTCCTACGCCTCCCCAGTAGAGAGGAGATCTGGGAGAGGAGGGACGGGCACAGACTCCATGGCCAGATAGAATGCTCGTTCTCCAGAGAGTCAGCGCACAGCCGTGGCAGCGGCGGCGAAACTTTTACTTTTTGATACTCGTATTTTGTCTCTGCCTTGTCAACTGCTGCTGCTGCAATTTTTGATATCTCAGGCCAACAATTATCATTTTCATGTAAAAACTAAAAAGTTTGTGATATATATACATATAATTCTACCTCCACCAGTATTTTCATAAGAAATTATAAGTGTTCAATATAGACAGACAGATAGTTAATAGAAAACTTTACCTTTAAGATAGAAAGACACTGGCTCCAAAGTCTGTCGTATGCCCATTTGGGGGGTCTTTTCTCTTCTGAAAGACAGAAGGCCAATTTTGTGAGTCAGAAAGTGCAATTTCATGAGATCTGCCAGACTAGAGGTGTTTAATGTTTTGGGGAACAGTGTCTTTAGACTTTGGATACATTAAGAGTAAATATTATCTTCCCCCTAAGAAGTTTAAGACATTTTAAAATAGAGCCTGTTTTGGACTTATAAATCCCATGAAGGCTACCTCCTACATTCAGATTTCTTTCTTACTGGCATTTTTTCTTAATTTGGTTTTCTTATTGGCATTTTTTCTTAATTTAGCATACATTTTATTAAATGCTTTTATTTATCTCAACCTAAAAGAATATTGAACTGAGATCTCACTCTGTGAATTCTGGTGTATATTTTTTAATTTGTTGCCTCAAGTCATACCAATTGCTTGTCTTTAGTTGCTTCTATCCTTGTTAAGTCTAACACTACTGTCTGGAGATCCGTCTTCATTGTGCCAGGTACTCGGATTTGTGTTGTGTTTCGGGGAATCCAGGAAAGGCTCCTCTGGATTCTCACAGTTCCGTTGGGTAGGTGAGATTAATACACAGAAAATACTGAGGACATAGCTTAGACTTTTTCTATATTTTTTAGTCTAGTTAAGAAAAGTAAGAACAAAATTTTTGGAAAATGAGATAGACATCTTCTGTAAAGTGATCTAAAGGTCTCTAGTGAATGTAAAGTTTTAAATACTAGCCCTTGAAATTACCAGCAAACTCAAATAATTTACACACTTCTCTTTGAAATTGCTTACTGTGTTAAAAAAAATATATTAGTGTTTAGTGACTGTATATTTTCTAATGAAAAATATTAAGGATTTTTATGCCTCAAAAAATCTAGCCCTGGCCAGTATGACTCAGCTGGTTGGAGCTTCGTCCTGTACACCAAGAGGTGTCAGATTTGATTTCTGTTCAGGGCACAAACCCAGGTTCCAGGTTCAATTCCCAGTTGGGGAGCATGCAAGAGGCAGCTGATCAATGTTTCTTTCTCACACAGATGTTTATCTCTCCCTTCTTCTCTCTGAAATAAATTTTACAAATATATAGTTGAAAACAGATGCATGTGAGGTTACTTATACCTAATAAATTTAGGTGGAAAGTTATTTTAACTTAGAAAAAAACTTAACTTGTTCTGAGTTTAGTATACAATGAGGTCTTCAGTGTTCTTCCCAGGTGTTTGAAAATGTCCTTATTTTGTTTTTTTGTCAGATGTTCTGTTTTTTTAAAAAATCATTTTTCCTCAGGCACACTGGAATAATTAAGAGAAAAAATACTTTACCTTTTCTCTTAAGGAATATGAGGAAACAGTTCTAATAACCTTGTACATTAGCCTATATATTGAGTTCTATAGCAGGAACAGCAACCCATTAAACAGTAACATTTCTGAAATAAAAAATCACAAGTGGGTAATTTTCTTTTTGTCCTGTAGTTTTTCTCAAGAGAAACTATAGCTGCAGAAAGGAGAGCATGAAGTATTTGCTAGATGCAGGAAAATGTAGGTCACAAATGAGTAATAAGTCTGGTTAAGAAAAGCAATAAAAAGCATGACTAATGTTTCCAAAGCTTTTGTCATCTCAGTAAAGACACAGTTTGTGAAACAGTCCTGCAGAGAGTGTCTTGGACTTGTTTTTTAGAGGATTATTTTTCACAAATAGCGTATATGCTACAAACTTTCATTGCCAATAGTTTTTAATTCATGTATATGCATTACAGATTAAACTGCTAAGTTTATTGTTTTTAAATTGTGAAGGCTTTAGGGAGGAAAAAAATTCATGAAGGAGTTTAGGCAATTTCCATAGAAACAGAAGCTAAATCCTAAGTAATATATTTTTCTAATAACTCTGTAGGGTAGATAAGCTGTGCCAGATTTCAAGAGAACACCTGCCTTCCTGTTTTAATCCATGAATAATTATTAACAGTCCTTTTATACAAAACAATAGAGGCCCGGTGCATGGATTCGTGCACATTGAAAAGAAATTAATTAGAAGGTGGCCGGCGGGGCGGAACTGGGCAAGACAGGCCGGACACGTCCTGGAGCCAACCTCCCACAGGCGGTGCTGAGGCTCAAAGGGTGTCTGCGGAATGAGCGGGGTCCCTCTGGCAGGTGGGGTCCCTTGGCCTGGCCTGTGGGGATCGGGCAGAAAACCAGCTCTCTGACATCCCCCAAGGGCCCCAGATTGCAAGAGGGCGGTTCTTGGGTGACGCTACCCGGAATCGGGCTCCCTCTGCAGCTTGGCAGTTCCTGCATTAAGCGTCTGCCCCCTGGTGGTCAGTGTGCATCATAGCTACTGGTCAGAGCATCTGCCCCTTGGTGGTCATTGTGTGTCATAACTACCAGCCAGTCACTTAGGCTTTTAAATATATAGATAGATAGGAGAGAGAAAGGGAAGAATGTTGATATTTTCTAAGAATCCATCTGTTGAGAAATATATAGGAAACAGAAAAATAAAAACAACTCAAAATAGATTAGCTACATTATGATTGATTTTTTCTCTAAGAATTTGAATATGTTAAAAAATTTTCTAACTTAAAACTGAAAGCAATTTTTTAATCTCATAAATTATCTTATATTGAATTCAGAGGGAAGCCTAGTTTTTAATTGTGATTTAATTGAAAAATGCCTATATGTTAAATTAACTTTTTTGTAATTGCAAAGCTTAAAAACAAGATGTTCTATTTGGGACTGTTTGTTTTTTTAACATGTTTGCTGTTTGTTTTTTATTTCAGAGAGAGGAAGGGAGAGGAAGAGAGAGATAGAAACATCAATTGTGAGAGAATCATCGATCAGCTGCCTCCTGCACACCCCCTACTGGGAATCGAGCCTGCAACCCAAGCATGTTCCCTGACCGGGAATTGAACCAGTGACCTCCTGGTTCACAGGTTGATGCTCAACCACTGAGCCACACCGGCTGGGAGGGACAGTTCCTAAATAATACGAAGGAGAAAGATACTTATTCAATTCTTTAAGTAATTATTAAACACTTTTATATGGCCATGATTTGAAAGTAATTATCAGTTAATTGTTTGTGTTACTCTTCTTTCTCCCCCACACAGATGGAATTAGACACAGCATTGAGTGACTTGGAGGCTGCAGATTTTGCAGAACTGGTAAGAGAAGCAGTGAGTTTCAGGAAAGAGAGTGTTGATTTCTCATTTTGTAAATCAGTCATTCTAAAAATATTGCAAGTGAGCATGCAATCTTGAAATACATAACATTAGGTCTCTATTTTGACAAGGGCAAAGTCTGTTTTGCTTACCTTAAGATTTTCTACTCAGTTGAACATATTTTTGCCTGGCCAGTTGAACATCGACCTATGAACCAGTCTGATTCCTGGTCAGGGCACATGCCCAGGTTTCAGGCTCGATCCCCAGTGTGGGGCGTGCAGGAGGCAGCTGATCAATGATTCTCTCTCATCATTGATGTTTCTCTCTCTCTCTCTTTCTCTCTCTCTCTCACTTCCTCTCTGAAATCAATAAAAATATTTTATAAAAAGAAATTTGTTACATAACATATATGTAAAGATTAATTACATCAGTATCATTAAGAACTGGGTTTTGTGAGACAGAATATACATGTAATGTTGATTAAATTAAGTAAAAATCCTGTAGATCTGGATTTAAATTGAAAGTTTAAGTATGGTTTTTAATCTTAAAAAAAAATGGTGTTTCCTAGTTCTGTTAAGGGAAAAGGCCTAGAAATCGTGACCATCCCCAGTAATAAGGAAGACCACTCGCACCCAGGCCATGGTGCATAAGTAATATTTCTTGCTACAAAGAACCATGACTCCTAAGGGAAATGACTGGATCCAGATTAGGGCCTGAAAATAAACACGTGTATCATCAGGAGTGCCATTTTAACAAAAACTAGATCATAGTGATATTTCGTTCTGCAGCTTGCATTCTTTGCAAAACAGTATATTCTAAAACATTTTGTGACTACTCAGGTATGATACTGTGTTATATATCTAATTTTGTTAACCATTCTTTTTTGCTAAAAAATCACTTCCAATTTTTGCATATTACAAATAATTCTATTAAAAAGTGTATGTTTTTTAATTTTTTTTTACATACCACACAGTGGCCCTCAAATAGGTTATACCAATTTGTATTATCAAAAATAATATACGTTAATGTTAAATATCATAGATGATGTGTAGGTAGATGCTTTTTGTCTTGATACATTTATTTTAATCCCTCATGGTGTAAGAAATCTTATGTTTATTTTTAGATGTCTCTAATCAGTAGTTTCTTATAAGAAACAAAAATAAAACTGTTTTAAATCAAAATACTTACTTTGCGCACTACCTTTCACCCTAATATCCTAGTATATTGATTTCTAATAAAGGCTGTGGAAAATTCAGTTACTAAAGAATATAATTGCCATTTTAACTGTTGTTGTTTAACTAGGATTTTTTAATCCACTGTGGTTTTCTCCCCCACCCAGTCTGAGGATTACTATGACATGAGGCGGCTGTATACGATTTTAGGGTCTTCTTTGTTTTACAAGGTAAGTTGAAGCTTGAATCTTTATAAATGTCCAACTGCTATATGACCTAAATTTTCTCAAACTTTTGCAGACATGAAAAATGTATCTATCTCTTTTCCTCTGAATGTAGGTACCCTAAAATTAAGATCTTAAAACTTGTACCTAGACAATAAATATTTCTGGTTTCATTGTGTTCTAAAGCATTTCTAAATTTGTAAAGAAGAAACTATACTCAAAGAACCAAGTGTGTAAGATATGGGAGAGTGGGTTCTGGTTTCCTTTTGCAGTAGTATGCTTGTTTCTTATCTTTAGACTCACTATGCATCTTTTTATTTTTTTATTTATTTTATTTTATTTTTTTTTACTATGCATCTTTTTAATAAATCTTTTAACGTTAAGTAGTTAACTTCCACATAAAGAAAGTTAAATATCCAGAGGCATGGATACATGGAATAGACTAACAGCTGTCAGGGTGGACAGGGGCAGGAATGGATGAATAAAGGTAAAGGGATTAGCCAAAGAACATCTATATTATAAAAGGCCAATGATGGTAACGCCGTAACGACCAAATGACCGGTCACCAGGAGGTGCATGGAGCACCTCTCGGGCCCTCCCCCCACCACCCCCTTAGGGCACCGGCACGTCGGCAGAGCGTCATGGGGCGCCTGTAGCATCCCTGGAACGTGGCGGGGTTCCAGCAGCATCCGCATAGCGCGTGAGGCGTCGCGGGGCGGCAGACATGGCCCTGATGGCAGGCTAGGCCTACGGGACCCTACACGCTCACGATTTAATCGTGTGCTGGGCCTCTAGTATATGCATAACCCATAGACACAGTGCAGTGATGGTCAGAGGAAAGGGAGGCTACGTAGGGGTGGGTGGGGGGTCGAGTAGGAATGGGGACATCAGTAATATGTCAGCAATAAAAATAATGGGGTTTTTTTAAAGAAAGTTAGGTGTCAGTTGAATTTAAGTGTTTTCATTTTTCAACTCCTCATTCTCTGCTTTCCATCCTCAGAATTCAGTTCTATTCTACTTTTGCCATTCAGGCTTATACTACGCATAGATGATCTTGTTTTGTGCTACAATCTACCTGTTGTTGACTTAAGTTATCATAAATATTTGATCTCTAGTTGACCTCAGTGGGTGGAGGGAATTCTTTTTACTGTCTTAAAACTGGAATATTTTAAGCCAACTGAAGAAGTACCTATAAAACTCTTAGAAATATATTATGGGATTATTGCTTTATATCACTGGTTGATTTTTGTTCTTTGTGGTTAAATTCAAGGGTTATTTGATATGCAGTCATTTGCCTAAGGATGATCTTATTGATATTGCCGTATATTGTCGCCACTATGGCCTACTGCCTTTAGCAGCAAAACAAAGAATTGGTCAGTTGGTAATATGGAGAGAAGTGTTTCCTCGACATCACCTCCAACCTTCTACAGATTCAAACA